ATTGCAATCCAAACACTTCAGCGCGAAGCGACTTCAGTCTTTCGCGGCGCATTGCAATCCAATCTCACCATCTCATGTTTATGATGCCCCTCCTCCTCCTCCTCAGCATCCTACTCCTTCTCAACCTCAAGCTCCCCCTCCCTCTCTTTCTCTTTCTCATCTTTCTTCTTTGAAGTTTTCTCCACCTTCTCCTCATAATTGTCCTCTCCTCCTCGTCCTCCTCTTCCTCCTCCTCCTCGATACCAAACGCCTTGTCCTCCTCGTCCTCCTCCTCATTTTCCTCCTCTACCGTCTCCCAATCCTCCTCCACATCCTCTTCCTCCTTATGTTTGTCTTCTTCCCCCTCCGCTTCAAAATCAAATGCATTGGCCTCAACTCTTCTCTTCCTCCTCCTCTTCCTTCTCCTTCCCCTCGTCCTCCTCATTCTATGAATCATCATCCACTTCTTCCTCATGTTTGTCCTCATCATTCTCCTCCTCCTACCCCCTCTCACTTTCAAACTCCTTGTCCTCCTCTTCTTCCTCCTCCTCCTCCTCCTTGTCCTCTTCCTCTTCCTTCTCTGAATCCTCCTCCATCTCCTCTTCGGCATGTTGTCCTCCTCCTATTCCGATTCCGCAAATTTAAACTCATTGTCCTCCTCCTGCTTCTCTTCCCCTCCTCCTTCTTTAAATTCTCCTCAAGCTCTCCCTCATGTTTGTCCTCCTCATCAGAATCCTCCTACTATTCTTCCTTCTCCTCCTTCTCTGAATCCTCATTCACCTCTTCCTCCTCCTCCTTCTCCTCCTCCTCCCAATGTTTGTCCTCCTGCTCATCGTCTCCTCCTCCTCCCCCTCCACCACCTCCTCCTCCACCTTCTCCTCCAAACCATATTTGCCCTACTCCTCCAAATTGAGCCCCATGTTCTCCTCCTCCTCCTCCGCGTCATCTGGTGAATGCCGAGCTCCAGTGGCACCAGCCATAGTTGAGCAACATCCTCCCCCATTTTCCACCGCCTCTTCCTAGCTGTGGAGCGGCGTTCACAACAAGTTGTGTGAAGAATGATTCGTAGCGGAAGGTTGCTCGCAAGGTTTGTTGTGGAGTTGCATTCGCAATTAGATTGGAGGGTAACGCCTCGAAGTGGAGAGGAGGGGGCTGAGTGATCAGGAGCCGTAGCAGCAGGAGGAGTAGGAGGAGGAAGAAGAGGAGGGTGAGGAACATGACGAAGGTGAGGAGCAACACCTTACTCACAAAACTAGGCGTCCACAGCTAGTTTTGCGAGTAATGTTTCGTAGCAGGAGGCTGCTCACAAAACTGGTTGTGGAGCTGCGTTCACAACTAGATTTGCGAGTGACGCCACGAAGCGGAGAGGTGGGGGTAGAGTGAAGAAACGAAGGAGGAGGAAGGGGGGAGGAGCAGGAGGAGTAGGAGGAGGAAGAAGAGGAGGGTGAGGAGCATGACGAAGGTGAGGAGCAACACCTTACTCACAAAACTAGGTGTGGAGCGGCGTTCACATTTAGTTTTGCGAGTAATGTCTCTTATCAAGAGGCTGCTCGCAAAACTGGTTGCGGAGCTGCGTTCGCAACTAGATTTGTGAGTGACGCCATGAAGCGGAGAGGTGGGGTTGAGTGAAGAAAAGAAGGAGGAGGAAGGATGGGGAGGAGCAGGAGGAGTAGGAGGAGGAAGAAGAGGAGGGTGAGGAGCATGACGAGGGTGAGGAGGAAGACATCACTCACAAAACTAGGTGTGGAGCGGCGTTCACAGCTAGTTTTGCGAGTAATGTTTCGTAGCAGGAGGCTGCTCGCAGAACTGATTGGGGAGCTGCGTTCACAACTAGATTTGTGAGTGACGCCACGAAGCGGAGAGGTGGGGGTAAAGTGAAGAAAAGAAGGAGGAGGGGGGAGGAGCAGCAGGAGTAGGAGGAGGAAGAAGAGGAGGGTGAAGAGCATGACGAAGGTGAGGAGCAACACCTTACTCACAAAACTAGGTGTGGAGCGGCGTTCACAGCTAGTTTTGCGAGTAATGTTTCGTAGCAGGAGGCTGCTCGCAGAACTGATTGGGGAGCTGCGTTCACAACTAGATTTGCGAGTGACGCCACGAAGCGGGGAGGTGGGGGTAAAGTGAAGAAAAGAAGGAGGAGGGGGGAGGAGCAGGAGGAGTAGGAGGAGGAAGAAGAGGAGGGTGAGGAGCATGACGAAGGTGAGGAGCAACACCTTACTCACAAAACTAGGTGTGGAGCGGCGTTCACAGCTAGTTTTGCGAGTAATGTTTCGTAGCAGGAGGCTGCTCACAAAACTGGTTGTGGAGCTGCGTTCATAACTAGATTTGCGAGTGACGCCACGAAGCGGAGAGGTGGGGGTAGAGTGAAGAAACGAAGGAGGAGGAAGGGGGGAGGAGCAGGAGGAGTAGGAGGAGGAAGAAGAGGAGGGTGAGGAGCATGACGAAGGTGAGGAGCAACACCTTACTCACAAAACTAGGTGTGGAGCGGCGTTCACATTTAGTTTTGCGAGTAATGTCTCTTATC